CCGTTATCATTGGAGAGATTTATGCCAAAGCACTCAAGCGTCGAGCAGCAGCTACTACTGAGAAGACGTTGGGCGAGGAAAAGAAGAAACAGGAGCAAGACGAAGAGCCAAAGGGATTGAAGCGCATGTTCACTTTCGGCAAGAACAAGAAGAAGGCGAATGGAGCCGCCAAAGAAGAAGACGCCACAAAGCCTGTGTCTGACGCTCAGGTCACAACCGGTGCCATCATCAACCTTATGGCTGTCGACGCTTTCAAGGTCAGCGAAATCTGCGCCTATCTCCATTTTCTCTGGGCGAACACTCCAGTCCAAGTCGTTGTGGCTGTCTTCTTACTTTACCGCATCCTGGGCTACAGCTCGATTGCTGGTATCGGCATGATGGTCTTCCTGCTTCCTATCAACATGTATGTCGCGCGTCAGTTTTCCAAGATTCAGAAGCTCATTCTTGCGGCTACCGATGCTCGTATCCACACCACAAACGAGGTTCTTACCAATATCCGAATCATCAAGTTCTTTGCTTGGGAACAGCGTTTCATCGGACTGGTTAACGAGAAGCGATACACTGAGCTCAAGCATCTGCGACGGCGCTATATTCTGTGGGCGGTGGCAGCTACGATATGGTCGGGCTCACCAGTCCTAATCACGTTCCTATCTTTCTTAGTCTACACGAACGTCGAACATAAAGCGCTCATTCCGTCTGTCGCTTTTACTGCTCTCTCATTGTTTCAAATCCTTAGGATTCCGCTGGACCAACTCGCAGACATGGTTGCTCATGTTCAAGAATCCAAGGTCTCGGTCGATCGTATCGAGGAGTATCTCTCGGAGCCTGAGACCGAAAAGTACGCGCAGCTTATCACCCAGAAGAAGGACGAAGATGGCCAAGCCATCATTGGATTCGAGAATGGTACATTCAGCTGGGGCGGAACGGACATGGCGGACCAGGCCTCAGCTGATGCCTTCAAGCTTATGGATCTCAACTTAACTTTCCGCGTGGGGAAGCTGAACGTTGTCGTTGGACCCACTGGGTCTGGAAAGACATCATTGCTGATGGGCTTGCTTGGTGAGATGACGAAGCTCAAGGGAAGCGTCTACTTACCAGGTGGACTCAGCCGAGAAGACATGACTCCCGATCCCGATACAGGACTCACTGACAGTATCGCTTACTGCGCTCAGCAAGCTTGGCTTGTGAATGGTACAGTCAAGGACAATATCGTATTCGCTAGCCATTTCGACCAAAAGCGCTACCAAGATGTCATTGAGGCATGCTCTCTGAAGCGAGATCTCGAGATACTCGACAACGGTGACGAAACGATAGTAGGAGAGAAAGGTGTAACGCTATCTGGAGGTCAAAAGCAACGTATCTCGCTGGCTCGTGCACTGTATAGCAAGGCCCGTCATGTTCTTCTCGATGATGTCTTGAGCGCTGTCGATGCCCACACCGCCAAATGGATCTTCCACTACGCACTTCATGGACCGCTCATGGCCAATCGAACTTGTATCCTGGTCACACATAATGTCAGTCTCTGTCTGCCACATGCAGAGTTCGCCGTCGTACTCGAGAACGGCCGGATAGTCGCACAAGGAACAGCAGACGAAGTCATCGCCTCCGGAAAGCTCACAGAAGATCTCACAAAATCACGGCCCGCCTCACGAGGTGCTTCCAAGCCTTCTTCTCAAGAGCCTTCCTCGGATGCAGGTGAAGAGGCGAACGGTGATGCTAATCACGCCAACGGATCTGCCAATGTCACTGTGAATGGCAAGCCGGACGCTAAGAAGACAACAGCCAGCAACAGCCAGGAGGAAAAGAAGGCCGAGGGTGGTGTCAAGCTCAGCATCATCACAATGTATCTGCGGGCTATGGGCCCGTGGTACTACTGGCTTGGTGCTACTATCGCTTTCGTAGCCGCACAAATCTCCTCGGTGTCCACTAATCTCTGGATCCGCACGTGGGCAAACGCGTACGCAGAAAAGGGTTATGCTGTCATGGGTACACACCATCAGACTCCAGTGACACACGCGCCGACTCTGAGCGGTATGGGCACATGTATGAACAGTGGCACCTGCAGCTGGAACATTCCTTTCTTTGCAACCCAACCGGAGCAGCAGTCGTATGCCTACAACAGTATGCAAACCACTTTCAGCGCTCCGAACCCAGATGTTAACTCGGCGTACTTCTTGGGTGTCTATGCCATTCTTGGACTCATCTTCATGCTTATCACATTCTTACGAGAGGGCTTCCTGTTTGGTGGTTCTCTAGCTGCATCCAAACGCATACACGAACGCCTCATTCAGAAAGTTACGCATGCCAAATTCCGCTTTTTCGATCAGACCCCGCTCGGCCAGCTCATGAACAGATTCTCCAAGGATATCGAATCTGTCGATCAAGAGGTGGCCCCTGTCGCTATTGGTGTTGTCCATTGTTTCGCTTCTATCATCACCATCGTCATCCTTATCTCGGTTATCACGCCTGCTTTCCTGATCGCGGCTTTCTTCATTTCAATACTTTACTTCCTTATCGGTCGTTTCTACATCAACTCGTCACGCGACCTGAAGCGATTGGAGTCCGTACATCGAAGCCCGCTGTATCAGCAATTTGGTGAAACTTTATCTGGTATGACGACCATCAGAGCTTACGGTGATGAGCGCCGCTTCATTCGCGAGAACTTGAACAAGATTAACACTCAGCATCGACCTTTCATCTATCTCTGGGCAGCTAACAGATGGCTCGCATTCAGAGTGGATGTCGTTGGTGCTATGGTCGCATTCTTCTCCGGAGCCTTCGTTGTGCTCAGCGTTGGACGCATCGATGCAGGTGCCGCTGGTCTCGCGCTCACCTACGCTGTTACCTTCACTGAGAACGTCTTGTGGTTTGTTCGTCTTTACTCCGCCAACGAGCAGAACATGAACTCGGTCGAGCGTGTCAAGGAGTACCTCGATGTAGACCAGGAGGCTCCCTCTGTTATCCCAGAGACCCGCCCACCTTCCAACTGGCCAAGCAAGGGATCCGTAGAGTTCATCAACTACAGTACACGATACAGGACCGACTTCGACCTTGTCTTGAAGGACCTGACCTTCAAAATTCTTCCAGGAGAGAAGGTTGGTGTAGTGGGCAGGACAGGTGCTGGTAAAAGTTCAATGGCTCTTGCCTTGTTCCGAGCGTTGGAGGCCGAAAAGGGCAAGATATTGATTGATGACATCGATGTTGGTACAATTGGCCTGCATGATCTGCGGGAGAATGTCGTCATGGTACCGCAAGGTAAGCAAATATATGGTCTATCAAGATTCAGCAAGTGCTAACATCCAACAGATCCGACCTTGTTCACGGGCACTATCCGAAGCAATCTTGATCCTTTCTCAATCTTTACTGATGAGGAGATTTACACTGCACTACGCGAAGTCAACCTTATCTCAACGCTATCACGTCCGGCATCTGGCACTGTGACACCTACCGGAGCCGCCTCCCCACCCCGCGCTGTTCAAATCCCTGTCCCTACATCAGGCGCCGTGACTGCAGATGTCAATGCCAGCTACTCAGCCGCTACTACCAATCCTGGATCCATTCTCGCAAACCGCGACTGGGAGCGTGGTGAGACACAAGAAGACACCGTCTTGGTGATGCCCGATGGGCGTCCCGCAGACCAGGACGATGTTGCGGCACAAGCTGCGATGGAGGCCGAAAACAAGAACCCTTTCAAGAACCTGAACTCCCCAGTATCAGAGTCCGGTTCCAACCTGTCGCAAGGTCAAAGGCAACTGCTCTGTCTTGCTCGAGCGCTACTCAAGGCACCCAAGGTGCTGCTGATGGACGAAGCCACGGCTTCCATCGATTACGCAACCGATGCGAAGATTCAGGAGACTATCCGTCAGATCAAGAACACTACTATCACTATCGCTCATCGTCTCCAAACGATCATCGACTACGACAAGGTCCTTGTTTTGGATAAGGGTGAGGTCATCGAATATGGTCATCCGTACGATCTTGTTCGGAAACAAGACGGTTCTTTCCGGTCCATGTGCGAAACAAGCGGAGAGTTAGAGACCTTGACCAGTACCGCGAAGACGGCCTACGAAGCGAAGCCTAGAACAGCTGCCGAATAGAGGTCCCTGCTTCGAACGTACGATCGCGCACTTATTTTCCTTGTACATAGGGCTCAGAGGATGAACAGGGTGGGTGAGAGTGATGAAATTTAGACGGGGTTTGGAAAGAAAAAAGTAAGCGATCAAGAGCCGCTTCTCATCAGGGCGCAAGCATATTTCCTTTTTGTTTCATTGTCTCGGCGTATACCAGAGCCTATGGGTGGTTGCCTGCTCTTAGTGTACACATAGTTAAGTCTAATCGGCCTTTTTCGCGCTGCATAATCGACACGTTGACGTACCAAAGATCCGTAAGTCGTGATTTGCCTAAACTTGCGCAGATATGATGAGTTCCAGTCAGCAGTGCTCGTCAGCAAGTGCATGCCGGCGCTCGGAGATGTTGTATCGGATCTTGGCGGATGCTTGAAGCTGACCGAATGCATAATCCATTGGTGACCACCGATCACTAATTCAAGCCAGAGGCTGGGAAGTCCGGTCTGTCCAGCTAACCTACCATAATCCAACATCTGGTTCCGATCGGTCAACGAAAAGCGATATATACTTCGCTGGCTGCGTGGCTGCCTCAAATGTACCAATCACGTGGCCGAAAGTAAGCTTCTTCCGGATCTTACATGCCTTTTCCGGCGTTTCCTCACACTTGCCTTATCGAACATTCTATGAAATCATGACACCCATTCATTGATATCTAATGGCTTTTTTGCTGACAATTAAAAGGGCGTTTTTGTACGAGTGATTCATGTGAAATTGCTGGGAGCAAGGGGACCATCCCTTGCAGGAGCCCTTGGCGATCAGGCTGGAAGTAGCACCTGTCAATATAATAATAGTATTGGTGCGCCTAGAAATTCGAGTAGATTTTCTGATAATCACTTTTTCCGCTGGAACTTCACCCGCTAGCATTCAGATAGTATGGAGACCCTCAGGGAAATAGTGCGCGATGCACCGTTTGGTCAGCTCGTTCGCTACGCAACACGTAACCGCGTCTTCAAGTATCCAGAAGAGTTACCTGGCTTTGAGATTCCTCCTGCATACACTGAAAGAAACACTAGAGCCTCGGGCTCGACGACTCAAGCGCACTCTAACAACTCCGCAACCGCCATCAGCCAGCCAAACCCGGACCAGACCACTAACGCTCCCCTTCCAGACGACCTAGAGAAGCTTCCCTCTCGAACAGAAGATATTGAGAAAGCCCATTCGCGTAACTCAACCTCAACAGACCACGAAGAACTCGGTGTCCCAGCAGCCACAATCGCTTCGCATACCCTCCCCTTCAGTCCTGAACGCCTTGAAGCCGAACGTCTCGAAGCCACTCTCTCACTCCATGGCACGCGCTCAGCACCTCATGCTATCGCTCCTACAAAGACAGCCGACGGTCTCATATTGGCAGAATGGTACACCACTACCGATCCAGCCAACCCTCACAACTGGTCTCGGGGGAAGAAAGCTTGGACGGCGTTTCTGATCTGTCTGTATACGTTTATCGTGTATGCAGGGAGTTCGATTTATGTTAGCAGTCAGATGTTGGTTATGGAGAGGTTTGGAGTGGGTGCTTTCAAGGCGAGTTTGGGGTTGGCGTTGTATGTTTTGGGTAAGTCCTTGCGTGTTCTTATCTGTTGATATTGTTTTACGGTATGATGAGGCTGACAACGTATCTACAGGTTACGGAATTGGACCGTTGTTGTTTGCGCCGCTAAGTGAAGGTAAGAGCATACCCATACGTCTTCACCCATTCCTCTCCGAATAGGTCGCTACCACCACGAATACGACGTTTGACTGACAGCTCTTGTAGTCCCGCAACTCGGCAGAAACATACCTTACATCACTACCTTCGCTCTCTTCACCATCTTGACTCTACCTGCTGCACTAGTGGACAACCTCGGCGGTCTCCTCGTCCTCCGTTTCTTGCTAGGTTTCTTTGGAAGTCCGTGTTTAGCGAATGGCGGAGCAAGTATGCAGGATCTATATGCTCTGCTGCAGTTACCCTATGGTCTTGCTTTCTGGACGGCAGCCGCATTCGCTGGACCAGCACTTGGACCTCTTCTGTCCGGGTTTTCTGTGTATGCCGAGAATTGGCGCTGGTATGTCTCTTTCCTTCAACAATTCGTGATGTGCACTGCGTGTTGTCTCATGCTGATCACATATCCATAGGTCACAGTGGGAACTCCTATGGATGGCCGCCCCAGTATTCCTCCTATTCTTCTTCTTCTTGCCGGAAACACAACCTACTACCATCTTGCTGCATCGCTCTGCTCGCCTTCGTGCACTAACAGGCAACCCAAACATCCACACGCAGACAGAGATCGATCGCAAAGGCATCAAGTTCTCCGCCACACTCGCAGATGCTATCATCAAGCCCTTGGAAATTTGCGTAAAAGACCCTGCTCTCTTCTTCATCAACGTCTACTCCGCTCTAACCTATGGTATCTACTACTCCTTCTTCGAAGTCTTCCCCTTGGTGTATCTTGAGATATATGGATTCAATGTTGGCGAGATGACGATAGTCTTCTTAGCAATTATTGTGGGGTGTTTCATCTCGATTACGATTTACTTTTCATATCTGAAGTTCTATCTCACACCGGATATTTTGAAGAGAGGGTTGAGGCCACAGGAACACAGACTTGTGCCAGCAATATTCGCCAGTTTCGGTGTGCCGGTTGGATTGTTCCTTTTTGGTGAGTTTCAGACGGCAATTTTGAGCAGCTAAAGTGGACATGAATGCTGATACATGTAGGCTGGACGGCTCGTCACTCCGTACACTGGATCGCTACAGCCATCGGTATCACCATATATTCGACCAGCGTTTTTATCATCTTCCAGGCTGTCTTTTGTAGGTTTTCTCTTGAATTTCATGTTTTCTGCTCACTTTGCTAACCATTGTATAGCATATGTTCCCATGTCCTACCCAACCTACGCTGCATCTCTCTTTGCAGGCAACGACTTTTGTCGCTCGGGTTTCGCTTTCGGTTCCGTGCTCTTCTCCCGCCCCATGTATATCAACTTAGGTATAGGGAAAGGCATTAGTCTTTTGGGTGGGTTGAGTGTTATGGGCATTGTAAGTCTGAACGAAACAGAGAATTGGCGAACGCAAGCTGACTCGATCTAGATCGGGATGTATTTGATCTGGGTATACGGTGCGAGGTTGAGAGCAAGGTCTAAGTTTGCTGTTTAGATGTGCGATGGGCTACGGTCGAAGGATTCTGAGTGGCAGTGGTAAATATGGGAATGGTTTTGGTGCTGCGTTATGCCTGTGAAAGAACTGGATACCTGATGACGCGTTTAACCGCTATGCTTTGGATTTGAAGAATGGAACAGCACCAAACAGAGAACATACTATCGTGTTGGCCTTTTGGGCAACACGTAGCTAACTGATATAGCTCCACAGCTAAACTTGTGCCTGACTCACCAGTTCACTGCTCCGAACCTTGTAGTTGAATGACGGTATCACTCTTGCCTAAGCTTTTTGCATGCTGACAAAGATAGGACGGTATCTGAGACCCTATTCTGTATCTTCACTTCGACCAGAATACTATAAGATCATCGATGTCCTCGTCATCAAGCTCGCTCGGCCTGTCTTTGATCTTCGGTCCATCGCCTTCGCGCTTGCTTCGTAATCTAACATAAACCTGATAGCAATTTGCCAACTCGCTTTCTGCTTCATCTGTCTTTCCAAGCGCACTCAACGCTTTGGACCGCATCCAGCACGCTCGCATCTTCTCTGGGATGTAGGTATGAGAAATGGAAAATGCGCCAAGAGCATGATTGAGAAGAGCGAGTGCCATGTCGTAATTTCCAAGTTTGATGTGGTGCTCTGCAACTTTGACGAAAACGTCGGCAGTACGGTGATGACGGTTTCCAAGGGTCAACTTGTAATGCATGAGTGCGCGGCGATGATAGTCTAGACTGGATTCGACGTTTCCCAAGGCGTGAAGGAAGCGACCTGTGATGAAAGAGACCCGGTCTTCCTTGCCGAACTCATCCTCGCGGTCTTTCAATCCCTTTTTGAGTGTGCTTGAAGCTAGCTCGTTGTTCCCTTGTAGCCAGTACGCCAGACCCAGGTTAGCCAGCTGCAACGAAGTTAACGCTTATTACATATATTGTACACAGATAGTACTCACGGGTAGCGAGATCATAGTTTCACCAAACTTGTGGTATTTGCGCATCTCCTCAATGGACTTGAGGAAACATTCTTCGCCCTTCTTCCAATCACGATTGAGCATGTGCGCATTTCCCAACTCATTCCAAGAGATGGCGAGACGCATATCCTCAGGGTTTTTCTTTAGGCTTTCCTTGACCATTTCCTGGTTGAACATCGTGAGATACTGTAGGGCGTCGCTTGGCTCGTTAATCTCAAGGGCTATGCATCCTCTGTTGTGTGCTATCTCGAGAAGTGAATAGTTTAGCTTTGAGAGTGTCACAGGACTGTTCTGTGCAAATTCGGGATGCTCCAGTAAGCGAAGCTTGAGGGATTCGCATATTGACTGAGCCATGTTGTTGGAATACACAGCATCGAGAGACTGGCCACGTTCGTGTTGGTACCAACCACTATCTATGAGTAGTCTGGCGAACTCGTAGTCGTCAAATGAGTCAGGAGATGGTGTTATCGATGGATACATAGTTTTAAGGCGCTGTACATGGGGGAACAGCTCCTCACAAGTTTCCCATCGAGCGATGCCATGTCTCCAAGTGAGCTCTTGGAAAGTCCACCTGTCGTTGATCAACTCGACACAGGCCAGGAAGTGACACCTCATCTCAGACTGGCGTAATCTGGCTCGAGCCACATCTTGCACAAGCCTGTGTACTGACAAGGTTCGTTTGCCTTTGTTGCCGGTAATCAAAGATCGCGCGAGCAACTCCGTACGTGCTGCAACATAGTTGGTTTTAACAAACTGAACCAAAACAGAATCGTCTTCTTGTACTGGCGAAGTGAACACTGATTCTGGGATTGAATCAGGGTCGAGCATAGAGACGATATTGATAAGTGTTGAGCCTTTCCCAAGGCGGTCGAAAGCCCACACTGATGCGACGTTGGATTGATAGTTACTGGGAGAGCGCAATTTGTCCGGAGTTTGCCAGTCGAAGAAGGCTTGTGAGCCCTCACGCTCCTCGAAAGAGTAAAGAAAATCCGTAAATGAGATATCCTTAGAAGCGACGATGGAGCCCATTTGGCTGAGGGCCAGCGGTAGACCACCCAGACGATTGGCGATTGTAGTTGCAGCTGCCATTTCGGGACCAGGAGCTGGTTCTTTTCCAGTCACACGGAACAGATAGTTCGTGGCTTCGGATAGGCTGAAGGGCTTCAGCTCGAGAGATGCTGACCATGAGTACGGGTTGCGACTGGTAATGAGCACAGAACCTGGCCCGTTGTATGGCCAAAATCCATTCAAAACATCGCCATCCTCCACACCGTCGAATACCAGCAACCAAGAAGCCAGTTCCGGGTTTTTTTCGCCTTTTTGAGATCTGTTTTTCCGGGGTTTAACGAGCCATCGCTTCAACACGTCCTTCGTGTAATCGAGGTCCATTGCATTTCGGGAATCAGCTTCTACCAAGCCTAAGCCGATCGCCAAATCCTTATAGTCTTGTGCAATCTTTCCAACATCTTCTGCTTGGACCCATAGAACAGCATCGAACTCGTTTCTATGTTTGGACGCAAAATTCGCTGCGATCTGTGTCTTCCCCATACCTCCAGGACCATACAAGGCATAGCATCTTGGCCAGCTTACAGGCTTATTGTCCGTCGACTCATTGTTGATAGCCGTGCATAAGGCCTTTTCCATTGCATCTAGCGCGTAATCTCGGCCGTAGAAATTTTTATCAGGGGTTACAGGCACCTGGTAAGCAGGAAGTGATGGTCCAGAAAATGCGTTGGTTGACGAATCTTCAAGAAAGAGACGCTGTAGAAGAGGTTGCAGGGTCTCATCTCTATCATGGCCGAAGTAAGGTTGCCTTTCGATGAAACTCCAGTCTTCCTCATAGGATGAGCCGAGAAGTGGTGTTGTGTCTCCACTTCTAGTGGGTAATTCGAGTGAGCTATTGCCATAAGAGTCCTCGGAGAATTGCAGACCTGCTGCATCGTCTGACGATAGGACCCGAGAGCCGTTCTCACTTTGTACAGTGAAATCGTCGGCTTTGCCTGTTTGAGAGTGGCCTTCTGGATGCTCTTCGACTTCGTCTTGCCATGGTAGAGCCTTGACTGCAAGGAATTCCAGATGAGCCGCTAGGTGTCTTACTATGCGTTCGGATATCGATCTGTCTTTCTGCATCTGACTCGCACCAGTTGAATCTCCGATATCGTTTTCGGTCGGTATATAAGAACAAAGAGGACATTGTGAAAAGATCATGGTCGTTGGCACTTTGCTTCGATTGGCTAACACGGGCAACTGCGAATCGGTAAACGACTTTGCGTGCTGATCTCGCATGTGTTCAAAGTAATCTTGTTTACTTGTGAACAGTGTTGCCGAATGAGCTTTGGATGTGCACCTCCAGCGGGTTTGGTGGCCCTGGAGGTGAGCTTTCCAAGTAGCTTTATCCTCGAAAAGCTTTAAATCATCTGGACATCCTGCAAAGAGACACGTATAGGGCTCAAGATCCTCCAGAACATGTTGTCTATATTAGAATCAGTTTTTAGCTTGTGTAAGATATTTCCAATCTCAAGCGAGGGAACGGGACTGCTATGGGAAGTAAATTGATGGAGTTCGCGATCACATACCTCCAGCGAGAAGCTCTTGATTCTTTGATAGGCAATATGAGACAGCAGTATGGGCATTCAAATTCCTTGCTACCAAGGGCGGGCTTGGGTGGGCGCGGCAAATCTACTGGTACACTCGCGGAGGGCGTAGCAGTGAAGGATGTAGTCTGGTTCGACTTTGTGTCCTCCAACACAATACTAATTGGAACAGACTGCTTCTGAAGCGCAGATGCAGAGGTATGTGATGGGTTAGATGCTCTAACCCGCAGACGCTTGGGCGCCAGCGTGTCTACTGGTGAGGCTTCATTCGTCAGTGGAAAAGCGCGTACTGTAACATCCATCTCTTCGGTTTCGTCGCCATGCTTCAAATCCTGTCGCATAGTCCCTTTCGATATATCCACGCCAAACAGCTTTTCCTGATGGCGCCTTCGGTACAAGAAACGTTTGCGCCGAATGACTATGCCGTTCGATAGTTTTGCGCGTAGAAACTCAGGCGCGTCTGGAAAGCAGTGATCCACTATCTGCCGAGCGAACCCTGCGAATGACTCGTTCAATTCGTTGCCATCGTCATCTCTCATGATGAAACGTTCGGCTTTGTCATTTTGAGATGATCTTGAAGGTTGGCGGATCAACAAAGAAAATCTGAAGAGCCGGTCAATCGCTCTCTCTATGCCTGGTAATCTCTTTTCTGGCGATGAGTTCTCGGCCGAGGTTTCAAGTGCCAGTTCTTCCTGAACCGACTTCGTCTCCGATCCCTGGAAAGACGATATTGCAGAAGACGTAGAGTCATCGAAGGATCCATCTCCGATTGATCCGTTCGCTCCAGTAAGGCTGTCAATACGTTCAAGCACATCGGATGTTTCTTCTGGTCTCAAGCTTACGATGGCTTAGAAGATAAAGTTAGCGAGTAATGATACACGACAAAGCCTGATTCTTCCCGAGGCCCCAAAACACGTCGCCTGATATAGCACATCCGTGAAGGAGGATTCACTTGCCTCTGTGTACAAAATCTGCCAGGGCGATAAGGAATTGAAGCATGAATTTCTGCGTGCTTAGGCTATCACGAAGTCGGTAGTCGAGTGATGCGTGTCCTTCAGCAAAAGCTCCGATATTGCCAGCCCATATCTTGAACCTTACATACTGTTCCTCAATCCAAGTGGTACCGTAAGTACCATCGACTTCCTCACTTGCAGATTTCAGCTCCGCGCTGATTTCGATCAGCAGCTTGAATTGTTCGAGGCATCTTTCAGCAGCCGTGCGAAGCTCACGGGACATGCTTGGGGACAGACTGATGTCTCGAAACGACTGAAGAATGATGAATGGGGGATAAAGAGTGAAGCGACAGCAGAGCCTCGTCCGGTGGGAAACACCTGAAGTGATGGCCAGTAGAATTGCCGATGCGATTCATCCGTAGTTGATGGTGTGCGGTAGGTAGCTGGTATTGGTAGTTTAGGATCGCAGATACGCGGGGTAGAACGCCCGTCAGCCCAATGACGCCCTCATCAGTGACAGCTCACCGGATCTATCGTTGGCTGTGCTGTCAGAAACTCGGCATTCCTCAGATAATAGTCTCTCCTTCGCTTGCAAAGGCTCTAGATCTATCTTTCGTAACACAATGTCTGGTGCTGAGCTTGCTTTGGCCATTGTGCCACTCGTTATCGTACTGGTTGAACATCACCGCACCGTCTTTAGAAAGGGCAAGGCTTTGACCTTGTCCAGAATCAGCAACGATCAACAGTTGGACTTTTACCAAGACCTGCATGGAGAGCTGACTCTGCTCAACATGATCTTGGAAAGAGTGCAAAGTAAGGCCGCCAGCGTGAGGCTCAGCGGAGCACAACCAGAGATGTCGCAGGCCGAATCAATCAAGATTTCACTTGGGCACAGCGCAGACGATTTCCAAGCCATTCTGGAGCGGGTGTTAAAGAGCATAAACGATCTCGTACGAGAGAAATCAAGTGCGCTGACAAAAGACGATACTGTAAGTACTGTACCGTAAATGCCCTTATGTTTGTACAGCACAGGCTAAATCTTTTAGGGAACTCAGCGTGCTATGCTTCAGAGGCTCCGTCGCCTCGAGGAAAAGATCAAGAACGGCGACGCATCGAAATCAGCCCGTGAAAAGTTCCGATTTACTCAAAATGACAGAACTCGCAATGTAGCGATGAAACGTATACAAGAAGGTGTATGGAAGCTAGAGCGTTTGCTCGGTTCTTCAACTGAGATCTTTGAACATCAGAATCGTGCAGCGCGGCGGAAGACTCCCGCCAACAGGATGAAAAGACTCCCGGAAGAACTGTTCAAGAAACTGGCGAGTAAATGGCCTTGTTCCTGCAACGCGCGGCACCTTGCAAAATTGTGCTTATGGAATTGTTGTTACGCTGGTGACAACAGCAATGACTCCGAAGATAGTCTCGACATTATCGTATCTGTGCCTGTCGATAAGCGAGATTCACATCACTGGAAAGAAACAACTATCCGTATCACGGAAGTGTGAGTCGCAAATTTACAACGGGTACGGTGTTTAACTCTACTGACAGTCTGTTAGCCAGGAAAATCAGATCAATGAGAATAACCATAGCGAGCCCCATGTTCGATTCGCAGGCGGCCAGGCACCACCCACTTCTCATGCAGCACTGCCGGGTCGCAACATCGAATCTGAGTCACTGTGCGATCTTCTGCAGAGAGCAAAGACTCCCAACATAAGCCTTCAAATCTTGTTTGAAAATGGCATGCTTTGGCAGCAGAAGGCCAGGCTATCGCGCTTACAGATTCGCCATCAGTTGGACGCATCTCTAAAAAGTTTGCTCGAAAGTGACCAGCGCTGGAAAAACTGCAATCTTCGTGACAAGTCGATCTTGGCTGTGACTCTAGCACATGCGGTCATGCATCGCTCAGAAGGTCCTTGGCTGCATGCAGAGTTGAACAAGGATGAGATCTTCTTCTTTCGGAAGAATAATGGTCATCATCCTGATGTTAGTCGGCCGTTCCTTGCGATGGACTTTACAAAGCAAGAGATAGTGCCCGATGAAGAGCATGATCTGTTCTCAATCCATCCAAACCCTATCCTTTTGTCTCTGGGTGTTCTGCTACTCGAGATCACTAATGGAACTTTGATAGAGGATCATTGGGATACAGACGACCTGACGGATGGTTCGACGCAGAATGATAGCACAAACTTAACAGCAGCCATCCGTTTGCTGGAGAAGTCCGACGGTAAAGTGGTGGTTGGGCTACAGAAGGCGGTAAAGGCTTGTCTCGAGTGGGACAGCATGAATGACGGAAGGGACGATATGGACTTTGCGAAGCGAGTTTACGAGCGCATTGTTGAACCATTAGAGGACGTGTTGTGGCATGGCTTTAACATAAGACCAGAACAACTAGGATTTGATTGAATGCGCATGGGCCGGAGAGTTTGAAGCTCCGCACGTAACGTAACAACAGCTTGCCCCACTTTTCCCATGCAGGTGACGTGACGTATGCACTTTTGATTGGTTGTGCCACGGCACACTGCCAGCTCAGCCTCCATCCCAGGAGGAAGCAAATATTGGAGGCGCACGTACGATGCAGCGCGTTGTCAGCAATCTCCCTTTACCTTCCACGCTCATTTGAGTAAATTTACAAACTGGCATGTATTCCATGTCTCATACTGTAGGCGAAGGGTTCACCTTGCGTCAATTGTGAATGCTCCGTTCCAATTCACTAACCAGCTTTAGTCCTACGCTAGATGGTCCACCCGCCGAACATTCCTACAATGACAGGCTCCACAACTGGTCCTGCCGCCGATTCTCAAGTTGCTGCCCCTTCGACCCACACGCTCGCCCTTAAAGAACCGAAACGACAGCCATGGCGCGAGATCTGGCCTGCGCCTCGCGAGCCTCAACAGCAGGCACAAATCTATGGCTTTGCCAAAGGGGAAATAATGGTGTTTGATGGCAACGCCGGCAATTTTTTCGCCAGAGATGGCTGGAGCGTTGAACAAGAGAGCGACACACAACCAAAATAATCGTAATATATCAATTGGGCTGGAGCGATAGGCTGCAACAAGACTGCGATACACAAGCTTGGAAATTCGACGCGATAATTTAAGGTTAGGGCATTAATTAGCCATTTAGTCACGGCGAGACGGTCTATGATATTCAATACGGGGTCAACTGAGAGGATATTGGACATGGCATTCGAATGCATATACACTGGCGCTGTAAGACAAGGTTAGGGGTCATAGAAAAGGGCATTGTCGCAAGAATTGCTCTGTACTTTGACCTCGCATGGTTTCACGATACGTATCTCTATCCTCGCTCCAGGCTACAACACAATATATTTAATTGTAAGATGAATTACCAAGAGATCAAAAGTCACCGAAATACGCAAGCGCCCTTACTTCAATACTCTCCCGGGGCTCTCCCTTCTCACTTCTAAGTTCGAAGGCGGTGTGCGGCACAGGTTTTGTTCCCGCGTCCACATCAGTATCACTCTGCAAAAAGATCCATGCCTCATCTTCCCTTTGATCACTGCACCACCACCAGTCCAATCCTTCACTCCAATACAGCTGTCGATTTTCCACCACATAATCGGGGTAAACTAGATCACACGGCTCCATATCTTTCTCCGTATCGACGGAGTGTGGATTGCAGAGAGCAAGTGGCCAGTCTTTCACGGGGCCGCGTAACGGTTTCCAAAAGCTATAACGCTTAGTTCAAAGAACAATTGACAAAAAGTTTTTGATGATACGGGAAAACACGTACTTAACACACTGGATTCTTGCCTTTCCGATATTCGAGTTATCAGGATTCAGCTGCTTTGCCATATCCACCGCCCAGCCCATCGTAGTATCCACATGTGCTATACTCGTCGGTTGGTTCCACCGATAGCTTTCTCCAGTACTGATCGGGAACTCGGAATGTCTCTTTCTAATGGTATGCTCGAAAATTTGCACTTTCTGTGCCCCAAGGAAGTCTTTGATGATGTTTGCAACCTCGCGTAAGTAAACACGTTTTACAGCATCATCATCGTCAAATTGCTCATATGGTAGTTGAGATTGGAAGGGTAAAAGTTGGAAGCCATGTTCGAAGAAGTCCAGCGGCTCATGGCGAGTGCGTACGTCTTTGACAGTAATGTTGTGATTTGCTAGCTTGATGTTGGAAGGTGGGAAGGCTGAGGGTGGGGTGAAGCGGAGAGAATATGGCTTTTCGACATCGTATAGAGCGTTGCGCTGCAGAAAATTGGTTGTAGAAATCGTAGTCATTGCCTTGAGATTGGTACAATATAAATGAAGGACTATTCATGCTCGAGGATTCTAGTGGCGCATCCGTTCGAGAGCACATGTACTGGAATAAGCATGGCAGTAGTACCCCTCACCACGGCACACAGGCCCCCTCCATTGGCCTCTCGCATGCCACAGGAAGGCTGCAGATAGGAAATAGCCTTAAGCTATTAAGGTAAAACGCACAAGCACACGTCCGCGTAGTCTCATTGAAATGGACTCAACAAGTAGGGCAAATGTTTAGTGGAACTTCCGCAAGTCGAATCATCGCTGTGCGCACAAGCTTGCTGTTACTAGTAGAGACGTGTTCTCAATCCACATGATCCATCTTGATTTGTTTGTTGAAATTTGCGATAGGATTCAGCTTCGTCTGGCTAAGCGCGATAACGTTCCAATGTGTCTACATCGGCGCTCGCTGCTTGCGTCTATCAACTCTCCAGATCATAAAGTAGACATCCTCCAGTCCTGAAGTTGTACACAAAAGCCTTTCCCACAGGTCCTTCCCCGTTCGCTCCCCCTTCGCCTTTACTTTCTACCCACCTCGCCCTGTAGCCTAGCAGTAGGTCATGCAGCTCTTGCAGGTACTTCCTCTCAGCAAGCGGCATCTTCTGGATGAAGTAACGCCATGAGTCCGGGTCGCTGAGGCGTGTTTCCTTGAGAAGGTTCATCACCTCTTCCTTCGATTCGATGGCGGCGATGGGTGCAGACTGGAAGGCGGAGAGCAGATCTGTGGAGCGCGATTGCGCAGCCTCGACAATAGACCATTTGTTGCTCTTCTTCGATCGGTGCTGAGCTATGAGGACATCAACGTTCGCTTTTGGCGCACTGGTGGTGTTGTTTGAGCTTGGCGGGGCGGCTTTGATGAGGCGAGCTGCACTCCCTTCGCGCTCTTCACGGTCTCGGAGTTCGTTTCGGAGATAGTTCAGAAGATCTGGACTGCGCAGATCTGTGTCTTCCTTCTTTGCGATGGACTTGACTTTCAACTCAGGCTTATCGGGCGCAACGCCGTGCTTGATTACGATGACCCAGCTGTGCCTATCGTCGCGATAGTGACGTAGGATGTCTTCAATAGAGTGCGCATCGACAGCGAGTTCGGCGGTGTAACCATGGGCGATGAGGTCTGCTACCATCTTGATGCCCGTAGAGCGGAGAACATTGGGGTCGAAACTAGCGACGAGACAATCGCAGCGTCGTGGCATCCATGATATAGATGGGGTATCTTCTTCGGCATGTTTCCGTAGAAACGTCGACTTCTCAGGTTTCTTAATGTATCGACTCATGGAATTGACTAGCCGATCCCATCCTAGATTCACGCCCACGGCATGAGACGCAGCTGCTGGGTGTGCGTGACTGGAGGCTTTCGGGCGATATTCCTCGATCAGTTTGTCGTACCTTCCGCCTGCAGCAAGCACCTCTTTCTGCTTCGTATCGAAAAGACATTGGAAGAGAATGCCACCAGAGTAGAACTTCTCGTTGAAGCTGCTCAGCACGCTGATGTAGATTTTGCGCTTCACACTCCACAGCTTCGTGTAATTGATAACAGAACTCAGATGTGCAAAGATGACGTGCGTTCGTTCAAGGTACTTGGTGCCCTCGAATAATCGTCGCAGCTTCGCGAATGCCTTTTCCGGTGTGTCGCGCCAATCGAAACGCGCCAGGTCGTCTAACGAGGTCGATGGGATGCCAATGTCTGACGATCGTAATTCGTTGCGAATCAACTGCCAATTGTTCTTCCCAATATTCAGTTTACTGAGGGCCGCCTTGACCGCTGCGCGCTTTGGGACGCTGATCCTACAGAAATCCATGATCATTTCTAACAGATCGGCGTGATTCAAGTGGAAACACATCTGCGTCGACCGGAACGAAGGAAACTCATCAATGATCTCGTCAACAACCTTGAGAACCTCTGCTTCCTTCAAGGTAAGGTCGAGCGTGTCATAAGACAAGATATCGAAATCCGCCTCGCCGTTACTACGTGGAGCACTTCCGGTGTAGTTATCACGGTAGACGTGACCGATCGTGAATGTCTTCTCCAGAAAGACTCCGCCGCGACCGATACTACGCGCGTAGGGCAGAGTCAGATCGTAGGGCAGCTGGACCAAAGTTCCAGAAGGGTCGAAAAGTTTTACGACGTGGCTGTCTGCATAATGATCAGACCAAGGTAGTAGTACCTGACGTTGTATCTCAACAGCACCATGGCTCCGGAAGACCATGGCTAATCTGTCTCTAACAAGATTCTGCAGAAGCACGTCGTTGGCTTTTATCGTCTGGGTTGTCGCACTGAGGTCCCAAGCATGATCTTTCGCTTGGGTGTCAGGCTTCTGTGAGAAGAGAGCAGCCATCATTTTCGCGTAATGTGGCGAGTTGCGATCTGAAAGGGCTTTGAGAGCTTCCTTGACGGCTTCGTCCTCCATCTGGGCAGGTACCTTACCGCTTCTCAAGAGCTCAGTGCATCCTGGTCGCTCCGAGGGGCGATGGCTGATAAGCGACTTGATGATGCCACCTTGCAACGACTTTTCGGGGGTTTCAAATTCTTGTGGAAGATCGTGTTTTCGTTCACGCAACGACCGAATAACCTTGTCACGCTCCATGGCAGTCCTTAGGGGAAAACACATCTCGAAAAAGATGATGCCCATGGAGTACATGTCCACTTTGTTGTTGTAGTCGCCGATAACACTAGAGCTCAACTCGGGAGCAACGTAAAGTGCAGTGCCTACGCTTCGCGTCATGTCGCCACCGTCCTGTGTACCGCTGGAAGACTTCGTATCGGATCTCTGATATTGTCCACTAGTAGCTAGTCCGAAGTCGCCGATCTTGGGGACTTTAGCCATATCAATGAAGACATTGTCGGGCTTGAGATCACGATGTATGATACCATGACCATGGATATGAGCGAGCCCTTCGAGAATTTGCCGAAACAGCCTCCAGTACTCGTCTGGATCGTCGTACAGACCTGTACGAATCAAATCTCGTAGGGTTTGCTTCTCACAAAACTCCATTTGAATATACAAGATTGATCTTGACGACTTGGTAGGCATCGAATCGGACATGGCGCGTTTTTTGACTGCCGGCGAAAGCGATCCCAGGCTAGCCTCATCTTCTAAGCTAGGTCAGCCTATGATATGTTTGTAA